GGCGTCTGCGATGCGCCGACCCCTGTGGCTTGCCACAGGGGTGCTTGGCGTGCCACACTTCAGGTACTTCCAAGTCCGCTAAAAAATTCTCCATGGGCCTTTGGCCGATCCCGACGGCCATCTGGAAAAACCATCTGCCGAAAATACGTGTCCCATTGCCCACATCGCCTCCAAGAGGGCCAAGATGGCTCAAGTTGGCCTCCAACATTGCTCCAAGACGGCTAAGATGGCCCCAAGAGAACCCAAGATGGCCACACGATGCCCCCAAGACGCCCCAAGATGCACCCAAGACGGCCCAAGACGGCCTCAAGATAATCCCAAAACCCAACTTCAATGGGGCTGGGCGGGGGGCGTCCTGGAGTGAACCCCCTCCCCTCACCCCCCCAAGAACCCCCCTTGAGGGGGAGACGTTAAGGGCGTTTTCCAAGGGGGTGGTCTGGGAACTGCCACGCCCTACTGGCGAGGGATCATCCCCTTTTATCATCTAAATCGTATCGCCATAAACCAGCAAGTGTTGGCTGACATCTTATTTTCGGAGCCTCGCAAGGTGATGCAGAAATACCGACTCCATTCCGCGGCCCGATGCTCAACATACTCCTCCTGAGCCTACTCCCCATCCCCGTCTATCCCCCCGCTCTGATCCTCACGAATGTCCTCGAAGGTCTGCCCTTCCTCGCGTATCGGTTGAATCGCACCGAACTGACCGAGTCGGACCCCATCCGTGGAGGATGGGAGTCGCCCTTGGGGGAGCGTGCAATAACCTATCAGATCGGTGCCACGCGTAGACGGCTGCACGCATCATCACATCGGTCGGACTGTGGACAATCCCCCATGACCCCGAGACGCGAGCTTCCTGCCCCAGACCCCCGATGATCACATTTGATTCGAATCGCCAATCCCCGCAGCTCTCCAGCCCTTCCCCAGGACTGGCACGTCATCCTGCCCACAAGCGGTCCCCGGGTCGCCGACCATGGAGGCATGACAGCGGCGCGACGTCTCCGAGACGCTGGGAGGCCTGGACCTGGCTGGCCCCGAGACGCCAGCCAACTCCCCCTGGACTTTCGCGGCCAGCCGACCTGCCGAGGTCGGTTTCCCGCAGCTGGCCGCCGGCCTCGCGTCGGCCGGCGGCTCTGCAGGCACCCCAGGGAGGCCCATGTGCTGGAGGCTGCCGCCGCACTGCGTGCAGAAGGCGGTGCAGAGCAGCTGGGCGTGTACCTGCCAGGTGCCGCGGGCTCGGCGGGAAGGCGAGCCCTCTGCCACCGGGGCCACCAGACTTCGCCCTCGCCGCAGGAAGCGCGACGCGCGGTGGCAGTCCTCGCGCTCTCGCGACGCTCTCCGGCCCAGGCCACGGAACCCGACTCTCAGCGAGCCCCTGCGCGGGTGACACTCCGAGAAGACTGGCCGACGTCCCCAGGAAGGGCGCGAACCCAATTCTCGCCTCGTTTTGGACCACTGTTCCCACTGCCATGGCCTAGGTGGGCCGGCCGAATTACGATCGACGAGAAAACTAAGTGCGGGCCGCATGTGTTTCAAAGTGTGAACTCAGTGCGGGTCCGCTCGAAAATGGCGCGCCCCCAAATAGCATCCTTGGAAACACCCGTTATCGTTGACAGAAAACGGGGTGCGGGCCACATTGTGTGTTATCTGCTATCCGCCACCGTGCCATTGAGGCACGAGTTGAAGTGTCCGCAGGTCTATGGCCTAACGGCCTAAGTCTCGGTCCTCAGTCCTGGGGATTCTTCAAGGGGCCCGGACCCCAGATTCACAAATCGTCTTGGGTTCCCCCTGGGTCCCGTCGCGGCTTGTCGCGTGACTTCTTCGGGCCCATCAGGGCCCCAAGATGGGCCCAAAGAGGCCGCCCACACGGTCTAAGAGGGCCTCGAATCGTCGCGAGATCGGTCCAAGACGCACAAGGCCCAAGAAGCCTTCGATTTTTTGACATGAACTACGAAGCGAGAATCAGCGCCACGGCACTGGACCCACGGTGAGATCATTCCTCTGTGGGTGCAGGCCCTTGCAAATACGGTTGAAACACCAACTTTGCTTGGGAGTGGGCTGGCCGCACTCCTTAGCCAAGCCTCGAACATGGCTCAGGGCGGCGGAGGAGAAGGAACGGATACAAACTGCAATAACAGCGCCATCCGAAACAGGGACCGCGACGGGCTCGCGGCACAATCCCCGCAAAATGGGGTCATCGAGCCGAGAAAAATCAGCGCGCGCGCCAGGGGGAGGAGGACGGTCCGACCCTTCAACCGAGCGGCCACACAAGCAATTCTGACACCGCCAAAAGCTGCGGGAACCCGACCTCGGGGTTCCCTGGGCTCAGGTGGCGGGGCGATCCACGGGGCATCCGGCAGATCCAGACGGGGCCACGCGGGGAGCACATTGGCCGCTAAAGCGAGCGCCGCCTTGGAAATTCGAATGCGACGGTCGAACTCCTCGAGCTCGTTGTCGGAAGCCCTTGGGCGAGACGACGCAGCAACCTCGGCAGACTCGTCGGCCTCCGAATTACCAGTGCGCAGCCAACGCTCCCGAGCAGAAATGCCCGCCTCCAGCGGGCCTACATGGGCTTTTGACTTTGACGACGGACTCGACGAGACTCACCCCGACACGCAACAACATCATGAGCCCAGCGAAAGGTCGCTTATAACTCAAGTGCACGGCACAGGGGGCTTCGCACTGAGTGACCGCATTCGAGCAGTCCGAGAAAAAGGTGGAAGGGCCCCCGATCTCCATCCCACTGCGGGCTATCCCCGCAAACTCCGAGCACTGAGACGTCTGGGGGAAGGGGGCGCGAACCGGCCCGAGATGCCTGCCAAGCCTACGTCCATCATCGCCCAGAGCCACGAGCCCATAACCTGCACGGGAAAGCTCGCTGATCCCATGCCGAAGGCAGCTGCCGTCGACGAAAATGCCACCTGCAAATGCGCCGCCATCGTGGGGGGGCTCGTCCCAAAACAACTCAGCCTGAATGATTCCCCCTGCGCTAGCAGGACGGGGGCTGGTGTGGCCAGGATGAAGGGGGAGGCCCCTGTCGAAGCGCAGGTGGTCGAGGGGGTCGGACAGATCCGCGCCAGCGGCCATCCTCAGAACGCCCGGCTTCACCAGCTCGTCTCGCAGAGAAACAACTGACGGGCAACGCCAAAGACGATGAAAGGCAGCGTCTCCTTTCTGTCCACAGAGAGAGCAAATATTGCTTAGAAGGTGCCCTGCTTTTCTGCTCTATCGCACGTCCACAAAGCTTCACAAACCAGGCCCCGAAAACATTCCTTGCCCAGGTTCGAGATCATGGAAGATCGCAATCGGTTTCTCCAAACGCCGAAGCAGAGCCGAAAACAGTCAACCATGGCCTTGGCGGCGTCCTCCCTTTCCAGGCTGCGGAGAGAAGCAGCATGCAGCATCGTCGACATTGCTGGTGAGATAACCGCTAGCAAAAAAGGACCTCCCGATGTCATTTACGCACGTCACGACGTCTGTCATCTGCCACCCGATCCTTTTCAAAGACACCCCGAGACCTGTCGCAAGACAAGTTCAGGCCGAGAGAAAACTACACCCCACCCTTCGCGAAACTGAGCCCAACTCAAGGAGTGCGTGTAGGAATGTGTCTGCAGAGGCCAGACCTCTCGGGGGCACCGAGCCGCGGGCGAAACTGCTCCTAGCCAGACTGGGTCGTTATGACATACCATGGTGGCAGTTAAAGAACGCCCTTTAGCCCCAGGTCCCAGCATTTACCAGCCCCCCGCCTAATCTTAAGCAGCTCAAGCTCTGATAGCCCATTGACTTCGGACACATAGAGTGCACCTGGAAGGGCCCCTGCGTTCCAAACTCTACTGGGGTGCTTCCCAACACCGCGCTTCATCCTGAGAAGCTTCCTGGCAGTCTGCTTGCGATGGTCAACGCGAGCTCGAAACTTGGTCCCGCGACGGGCGGCGCGTCTGGCCTTGCCCCCAGCGTCGCCGATACCGAGGTTGACAGCGCCGTCGGTCTTCGCGCCAGCATGCGGCCCAAGAAAACTGCGCATGGCCCTCGTCGCAACGTGGCTCCAACTTACAGCTTACAAGTGCGGCCTTATCGACGGAAATCTTGCAATCGCATTCGCGCGCGATGGCTTGAGACAGCTGAACGCTAGCACTCTTGAGACCATGCACAACCTCTGAAACCGAGCCTACCGCCGAGGCCCCGCCATCGTCGATGCACCGGTCGAAGAATACATTGCTCGGGAACCTTATGTTCTAGAGCGCTTCTACGGTGTAAACCATGGCGAACAAAGTATAGGGAAACTGCACCCAGCGATAACGCTTTTTGAAACGTAAAAGGGCCCCGTGACATACCCTGCTAGACACGAGAAGCGAGCCGACTTATATAAAGCTATGGCTAGCTTACACCTTGCTGGAGGGAGAGTGTACTTAATGCAATGGTCTTCCAACTGGCGGAGACAAATGCCTTCGTTGAACTTAGCCGCGTCCCATAACAGAATAGCACTTACCTTGCCAGCGGCGTTGACTGTTTCTGCCCTGAAACTCTGCCTCTATACTGCATCGCTGGCTGAAACGAACGACTGGCCCGCGTAGGAACTTCTCTGGTGCTTCAGTTCCCACTGAAGAGCGCGGCATTGGCGACAGCGACCCCGGAGACGGCACATAAAGCATAATACACCTATTAGCATCCAGCCACCAAAGGGTTTCATGAGAAGCGCAAGCTGCGCCACTCTGAGTTGGGCTGGAAAAAATGAAACCAATTCCATGATAGACATGATATAACCCATCGTCGCTCTTCCAGGACTGATGTCTCATGTGGAGCCAGCCCAGCCCGCGAGCGGCCCCCAGGGAATACTCCCAAGAGACTGCTCTAACAAACTCAACAGACATCATCGGGAAAGGCTCCGTGACTGCTCTGGTCCACGAAGGCCCGGGCCTCTTGGGGCCCCCCCGCAAGTCCGCGAAGATCGCAGCCTGGCCTTCGACCAGGGACAGGGGGCCCGACGCAACAACGCCCGAATAAATCAGCGTAGTCGATGGTTTCCAGCCCGCGGTTTTTTTTCGATGGTTTCCAGCCCGCGGCGGGCCCTCGGGCGAGGCGGGCAGTTCTGCCCCCTAACTCAATACCATGACTTAGCCACTTAGCCGAGCTTCCCATCCTTCGGCCCCTTCAGTCCTGGCCCCGGCCTGCGCCGACGACGCAGCCGCCCCCAGCCAGCGAAGAAGGCCATCAACGTGGAGCGGTTGCTCCTGCGACTGTCTACCTGCAAGCGGGTCGAGGCCCAACTGGCGCATGTCGCGCCCGCGTGTGGCTAAACGTGGGGAAGAAGGAAGCCGTGCCCATCAAACTGGCACTCATGCGTGGCCTCTTCGACCTGGCCCAGGTCTTCGAAGGGGTCGGCGAAAGCATCGCCTACGCCCGCGGCGGGCGCCTTCACCTTATCAGGGGGGCCCGAGACCAGGGCGAAGGCAGGAACAGGGGTCTGGTTTTGGGTGCTGCGCAGGGACTCTCGCCCCCCTTCCTTCTGCGCAGGGCGGACATGCCCCTGCGCCTGGCAAACTAATTCGCGGCGCGCAGACTAACCCGCCTCCGCATCAGAAGAAGGGCCAAGAGAAAGCGAAACTTTGAGTCCAAGATCCTTGGAAGAAAGCGGCGCGCATGCCCACTTCCTGAATGTCAGCAGGAACCGCTTGGGGCCGAACAACTCGGGGTGGCAGCCCTTGCAAGAATCCGCCTTGAGAAGCCAGCGCTGCTTAAGCATTCTTCCCCTGGAACCTCCGCATGGCAGAGAAGAACGGGCAGCCCCGGCAACTTCAACCTCAGCCAAGCGGGCCCAACGGCCATGCAACCTTGAAAGCCCAGCCACCTGGTCTCTGACCAGACCTCCAGGAACCATGGAAGTGATAAGGCCCCTGGCCAGGCCCCGAACTCGGCCCACGACGGCGGTTTGGGATCGGGCCCCGCCGGCTCGGCGGCAGCTATCGGGGGAGCCTGCGAAAAACGAGGGCCCGCATCCTGCATGCCTTCGGGCACAAACTCAGCTGCGCAGGCGAATGGGGGGGGGGTAATGCGGGACGTTTTAACGGTTTCCACGGCCTGCGCAACTTTGCACATGCCCGAGGTGACCACGGAAGAAGTCCAAGGCTTTGGGCCCCCCCGTAGCACTGCGCGCACCTTCGGCCGTCGGGGACGCAATGTCCCCGGCGAGCTTCTCTGGAAAAACTGCTGGCGATGAC